CTTCCATTTTCAAGTCAAACTATGATCGTACTGAAACCGTCGGTTGAAATATATGGATTTCTTCGTCGAAAGTATCAAGATTTGTCTTGTCCTTGTACTCATTTTGCCATTCCATATGCGAATATTATTCAAATGACACCGCATTATCATCAAATAAGTTTGAGAACACATCTTCAATTGGATCAAAAGATAGTTAGTAAGCTGTAAACCTGATTTCGCAAGGATTCATACTTTTCCAACCATATTTCAACATTCATGTATACGTGTTTTTCTCATCAAAGTCGTCTCGATTGAAAATGCAAATAACGAAATCTGACTGTCAGTATCGAATCGAATGTTGAATTCTGATAGACCTGATGCAAAGAATCAAGTAAATTCAAGCTGAATTTATCACCGTTAATTAGCAGATGAATTATGATTGTTGAGGAACAAGTTCAGATCCACGACATATAGAACATTTGCTAATATAGAAAACACTTTTGCAAATCATATTAGGATACTTGCATTCAAAAACATGTGACTTTTTCTTGGAAGAATCACCCAATAGATTTGATGTAAAATTAGATTGACCTATATATTCATCATAAATGAAATGCAATTACTTGTCGCTATCTAAATTAAACAAAGATCTATATAGTTTTCTTGAAACTTTAGAAAGTCCATTGTTTCTGTTCTCGATAATTCGACGTTTATGTTTTTTTTTCGAATTTCGTTGGTGAAACGTGCTTGAGATTTATTGTTGGATTATTATTTGATTCCACCGATAATATGAATGATTGGCGTCGTCTTTCATTCCCTAAATTTAAATTACTCAACGATCTTTGCAGTCTGAGTATGTTAACGATTACAGACACTTTTACTTTGTTTAGTAATACGAAATTAGTAATATCTCGAATTGATGATGAGCAATTGTTCTTGGCTCAAGCACGTTCGATTGCCGAAAATTTTCAAACAAGCACAGAAAATTCATTCAGTCGTTCTCTTGCTACGAATAGTGTTTTGAAAGAAGGCAATTTACTTGTCTCTGCACTTGGTACCAATTATAATTTTGAAGGAAATTACGACAGCAAGTCGTCTTCAATTTCGATCAATAGGTATCCAGCGGATTTTCATGATGAACATAGTATTTGGTGTTCTTGTGATATGCGTTCCAGTTGTTCGAACCATATTCATGCTTTTGATGATAATAGGAACGATTATCTTACATATAATTAGCGTTACGGTTGTTTCGTTGTAAATGCCTTATTTGCATCAACATTAGAATGTTATTTCAATTTAACTTGCTTAGCAATTCTTCGTTCACTTTATCAATTGCCATTTAATATTCAGCCTCTTTTATTGACTAACGATTCACGCTTCGAGCTGACTACACCCATAGCTACCATCGTTAAACATCTATTTGTGGAAGACTGGTCATTCAATTCTAGTTTTGTTGGCTATTTTAATTCATGTGAACCTTTGTCTTGTTCACATCAAATTATTGAACGACAATCTTTTCTTGTCGTTGTTGGAACATTGATCAGTTTATTGGGTGGTCTTACCAAGGTCCTCGATTTACTGGTGCTACGCACTGTAAGATTCTGTCATGGTCATGGCCGTCGATAGGTTCGACATTTGATTGGCCTTTGCGGGCTAAGAAACAGACTGAACTGGACAACAACAGTAGTTGAAAACTAATAAATGATATTGAACATGGGAGCACCTTTATAGAACTTCAGCTTGCTTTGGTGTCATAAATGAACGATTGCTATTTTTTCTATCATGCCATGTCTTCACTTTGCATTTTGTATTATGTTTTTTTTTTCTGGAGACTTGAGAATTTCTCCTTAGTACGCCGTTCATCCTTATCTTGCTTAATCAATTAATCATAGTCTTGTATTTATTGGTAACCAATAGAAAAGGTCTGATTTGATTATTTGAAATATAATAAAATCATAACGAATTTCGTGTGTATTAGCTTCTTTTCAATCTTTTTGTATTATTAAAACTCAAGAAATGAAAACAAAAAAATGCTATTGTTTGAATAAAGTAAATGATCTTCATCTTTAACCTATAGTTGTTCCTCTTCAGTTAAATTCTCTTCGTATTGATTAATAAAAAATAAATCATGTTCACAATAGGAAACAATGATATATGAATAGCTTTGTAATCCTTCGTTGTTGTTCTCGGATTCGTGTGGATCCATCCATAGAAACAAGTCAAAGTGCAATTCTTTTGCACTATATGAATTTCCCACATCGATGAGGATGGATGGAAGCCAGGGTAAGGATATGAGGGGTAAGAATGAGGATATGTACGAGTGAAGAGAAGACTCACACTTTATCCTCATCCTCATCTTCATCCACTTCACTCACACTTACGTCTATCAGTGAAGCGAAATATAGATTCCCCTCTCCTCGCTCTCTATGAATCATAAGACGGACACGAAATTCTATTTAACGAATGAGAAATCACGCGATCTCTCGAGAGACATATACATTCAAGAACGAACTCAGAATATTTTAGATAACCATTCGAGGATTTCCGGGATGGATTTACCCCTAATCACTCAGTCACCCAGTTCAACGAGTTTTGAAGTAGAACAAATGCGCTTCATTCATCCATAGACTTGAACACGAGAAAACTCAAGGGGCAAAAGCGGGCTTTATACTTAAAGTTAATTTGGGCTACTTGAACGTACTTCGAGCTACTTTCGAGTACTTTTCTGTAATTGTAAATTACTCTGTCGTACTTAAAAAGTACTTTTCCCGTAATTTTATCGTACTTTGGCATACTCGAAGTCCGCTTTTTTCCTCCTTTGAAAAACCACACCCATACTAAAAATGCGCTACTTCGTTGATAACTTTTAGATTTCTAAATACGATCGAAACCTCATTAAATTAGTACCAAAATGTAAGTGTTAAGATGCTCTCCGTATTGATATAAGATTCAAAGAGGTTGAAGCCAAGGAAAGTAGTAGTGAGTGGTAGGTATGTCACGATATCGATACCATTGGGTATTGACTAGTAGTGGTATTCAATACGAATTCCTATTAGTACAAAAATGAGTCAATGCCAATACCAGTCAACACAAATGCTTCGATATCGTGTTGATATTGTGACATTTCTAGGGGGTTTATGTAATCTCTTTTGTGCACACAGTATTAAGTGTTTTTTTTTATTTTCGCTTTGGTAATCTGTGACTATTAGCGCCCATGAATCATATGAAATAAAGCTTTTACTGCACTGATATGTAATGAGAAACTTTGACGAGTATTTTTTAATACTCATGTTGTGAATCTAAAACTATGTAACAGTTCGACTTTTGTTTCATTTCGATGAATCCTGTCTGAAGTTTTTACAATTATTTTTTTGCTTATGGTTGCCAAGCAAAATAATCGGACACGATATATCTATCGTATCTCGATTCAGTTCCTGAAATGCATAGTGATACAGAATTTCACAGTCTATCAAGAATATACACTTACTTTTCCAAATGCATCAATTTATAAAAATAAAATATGAATAATATCGAATACATTATTTTTAGAAATCGGAATTTTTGATAAAGAAATCAAATATTCTTGAAAAAAAATTCTATAGAAAGTTCAATTCTACAACTTTGTAAAAGCCGTTGTCCGAAACACTTGGGCATACTTTCTGAAGTAAGCGTATGGTACCAAGCGAGAAATATCTGGTGATGAAGAACTTTTATTACCATGGCCAGATAGTCCATGTTCGATAGTATCTGTAGTGAAACAATCTCGGTGATAAGGTTTTATGTTCACTATAAAATGAAAATCTACTGAAAAGCATTGTACTACATAAAGTTCCAATTTTTTCTGAGTGTCAATACTTTCAAGCTCTATATCTCGAGAAGAGTACAGCCATTTGAGCTGAAATTTTCAGTTTCTTCCTAACCTTACTAGATCTATCTACTGTGAAAGTTTCAGTTAAATCAGTGAGATCGATTGAGCAACATTAGTCGTAGCCTACGTGCGATGTCTCTTAGAAATTCAACATAGATCAAGAAGCGAGTTCGAACTGGAAATACTCAAATTCAATACTAGCTTCATTTAAGTCTTAAAGCACTGGTCAAGTAGCTGAAAGTTACCTCAAATAACAAAGTACGCTCTTTCCCCCTTGATAAGAGCTCTCATTACAGTCTAGATGAAGAATAGTTACGTTATTGAAGAGATGAAAGCCTTCAATTTTGAAATATCCTATTGAAGGTGTGTGTGTCAACACATCATCAAATCAGAAACATTTTTTCAAAATGTGGGAAATTGCAGAGAGAGTTCTTTAGATGATAATAAAATGAACGATGTTTTAAAATTAGTTGTTCCAGATACACACTATTTATAGGTTTCTGAACTATTGGTGGGTCACGACAAATTTTATAAGATCCAAAGCCATATCTTAACTGTTCTAAAAATTCTTATCATGTAATATACTTCGAGTTGATATGCCTCAGTATCATATTATTAAACTCATTGTAGAAAAAACCTACTTCATCAGAGCCTTCATGTTTTTTCTTTCCTATTTACTTAACCCTTTCAGGACGGGAAGCACATATGTGTGCTTTATATAGTACAGTAACCCCGTCCCCAAAGGGTTAATATTGCATTTGAATGCTTCACTTTCTTTTTCAGCTGTGTCCAAGAGAAAGTTCTGTACATGAAGCTTATTCTACTCTCTGATAGCAATCAATCATCATAATATTATTTTGTCGTAGTCGAAGATTATAAACATCATGGAACCTAACATGATGGTTTCATCAACATATATAAACCTTAATGCTGCTCGCCAAATAGTATTATTGATTTTATTTTCTTTCATTCTTTCATGATTTTATGACTGAGTACATACGAAAGTGGATATTATTTTTTTTTTCGATTCTCTAAGTATAACGCGTACACTTTGTTGATAACATTTTACCGACGCTTATTTGATCTTAACTAACAACTACACAAAACGTCACTCATTATCTAACGAAAAATATCTTTATCAACGAAAGAAATAATGCCAAAAAAAGATCGAATAAATTTGGATTTGACTTCTAAGGGTAATCTTTTTCTAATAAATTGTATTTACACTCTCTTTCTTCTGTATCGTTCTAGAATGTGATATACTTACAGCAAATGCTAAACTTACTGAGCAAGGTAAAACAAAATTTACTAGATATTGAAGTCTGCTATTTTCATTGATTTTCATAAATAGAAATTCGGGAATGGCATACGGTATTTTGTATTACTCATACTTTTTCGAACGAACAATCCAAATGACTGATCTTTATCTTTTTTCTTTGGCAGAATTTTCTTCGTCAATATCCATCAGGTAAACTCGATAAAAAGACATTTATTGATTATTATCAGAAACTACATCCAAATGATGAAACAGACATAACGTAAGAATAAAGTCATAAATTTTATCGAACCTTGTATTGACAATTTTTAGACAACTTTTTGATCGAATAGATGTAAATGATGATGGTACAATTGATTTCAATGAACTTCTTGTTCTAATTGCTATTAGAAGAAAACTAGGCAATTTAGAACACAGACTTGCATTCATATTTGATTTGTTAGTATTCATTGATTCTCGAGTTTTTTTATTATTACTATTTATCGTTTTAAATTAGATGGGATGATTCAGAAGATGGACAAATCGATCGAAAAGAATTAACTAATTTAGTATCAGCTATGGTAAAATTTCTTCTTGATTTTGCTTTTTTTTGATAAAATTACAATTTCTTTTTTGTTTCTATTCCATAGTACTACCGTTCTGGTATAACTGATCAAAAAGGTAAATGGGATCCAAAAAAACGTGCTAAGGAAATCATGGCTAAACTAGACATTAGTGGTGATAAGAAATTAAGTAAACAAGAATTTGTTAATGGGTATG